AACGAGGAACATACGTACAATCGCCTGGATAAACCAACAACTGAAAGACCAAGACACGATATGATGATGTACACGATGATTGGTTGTTGTGTTCAGAGTACAAACACGGTCGATTAGAGACTCACCGCAGGCTGGTCGATGAGATGAAACAACAAATCTGCGTCAGGAAGCAACTCTACAAGGGCACTGCGCAACTCGTGCTGCGAGAGCCTAGGAGTATTTTACGCATGCATACCAGTGCCACTACCACCTCCACTCAGCCCACACCCCCCACGATCCGTCGCCGCATCAGCTGGGATGTTCGGCCGGACAGCCGCGTGCTCCCATGCACCAATGTACTCGTCGGGCACTTCGCCTGACCTGTTATACATGCCGAGAGGAAACTCTAGGCCCATCACCTTCACCCGATCCAAGAACCAGCAAACCCTTCTGCATGTTAGGGTAGTGCCTGCGCTTCACAACCCTAAACCCTGAGCCAGTACTACTCTGACCCCAACTAAGGATATCTCCACACACCCAACACACAAAATCTCTATCGACCACCTCGCCAAACATGCTCACTAGTAATCCAGGCTAGAGCTCCGCAACCAATCATTTGACCACCAAATCCGTCTTCTCCTCCTCCCTCGCACCACCCCGGCAGATGCCACCAGCTCACAATGGTGTGGATTTGACCACCTCGGTGCAGTGCGTGTGTGTATATATGGGCCCAACTCTATGTTCTGGCTCGCCCACTCTCCCACCCCCTCCGCAACTGGACCAGTCCAGGCAGCAAAGTGTGCAACCCTCCCTGCCCTCCACCCACCTCGGCCACCACTCAAGGGACCGCTTGTTTGCCCCTCACTACGACCAGCGTTAGTACCTACAGCAATCCAATAGAACGTCTTGGCCCGCGACCCACCTGTCCCCCTCTACCCCCTCGGCCGCGTGCATTCCCATCCCCTCGTCCCCTTACACCAAGACCATCACCGTCCTCCTCCTGCACTTCATCATCCCCATCCTCCCCCTCTTCAAAATCCTCACCCTCCTCTGCTGAAGTATTCACGTACTCATCGTCGGCATCTGCTCCCGTACGCAAAGGCCCTTCGACCCACGGTGGAGGAGCACTCCTCTCCCACCTAGACTCATCCTCCTCCAACGCTACATCCCCTCCCTTGGTCCCCATACGCGCCTGAAGAGCACAACGTTGGTTCGTGCTTCTTATGTGGGAATTCAGGCTAGAGCTCCGCAACCAATCATTTGACCACCAAATCCGTCTTCTCCTCCTCCCTCGCACCACCCCGGCAGATGCCACCAGCTCACAATGGTGTGGATTTGACCACCTCGGTGCAGTGCGTGTGTGTATATATGGGCCCAACTCTATGTTCTGGCTCGCCCACTCTCCCACCCCCTCCGCAACTGGACCAGTCCAGGCAGCAAAGTGTGCAACCCTCCCTGCCCTCCACCCACCTCGGCCACCACTCAAGGGACCGCTTGTTTGCCCCTCACTACGACCAGCGTTAGTACCTACAGCAATCCAATAGAACGTCTTGGCCCGCGACCCACCTGTCCCCCTCTACCCCCTCGGCCGCGTGCATTCCCATCCCCTCGTCCCCTTACACCAAGACCATCACCGTCCTCCTCCTGCACTTCATCATCCCCATCCTCCCCCTCTTCAAAATCCTCACCCTCCTCTGCTGAAGTATTCACGTACTCATCGTCGGCATCTGCTCCCGTACGCAAAGGCCCTTCGACCCACGGTGGAGGAGCACTCCTCTCCCACCTAGACTCATCCTCCTCCAACGCTACATCCCCTCCCTTGGTCCCCATACGCGCCTGAAGAGCACAACGTTGGTTCGTGCTTCTTATGTGGGAATTCGGGCAAAGGAGGCACTAGACAGTGTACGCCCTTGCTCATTCGCCCCTTCAACCCCATGGGTACACTCATCAGTGACAGTAGCAGCAAAACGAAGAGTGGTCAGGACGCCCGCAGGTAGTGCCAGCACTAGGGCCAGTCAGGATCCGGTACTGGCAGGGGCCGACGTCGCGATTAGCGCGACGTGGCCACCAGCTGCCTGGGCCGCCGCTGGGGCCAATGCTCTTCGGACCACCAGGCCCCCACGGCTGCTGAGGGTGCCACTGCTGCTGAGGTCCCCACTGCTGAAACTGCTGTGGCTTCTATCCCTGCCGCTGCAAAACTCTAGCGGACGCCATGGTAAAAGCTAGCTGGGCGCAAGAGCGGCAGGCTAGTAACAGTTGCTGCAAGTTAACGCTAGAGCTAGAAACGGCTGGAGCAGGAGTGGCTAGAACTAGGAACGACTGCAGCTAGGAGCGGCAGGAGCTAGGAGCGGCAGGAGCTAGGAACGGCTGGAGCTAAGAGCGGCTGGAGCTAAGTGCGGCTAGAGCTAAGAACGGCTGGAGCTAGGAGCGGCTAGAACCATGAACGACCGGAGCTAGGAACACCAAGATCGAGACACGGCTGGAGCTAGGAACGACTAGGAATACCAGGTTAGGAACATTTGGCGCTAGGAGCAGCTGGAGCTAGAAACGACCTGAGCTAGGACTGCTGGAGGGAGATGCAGCTGGAGCTAGGAACAGCTGGAGCTAGGAGCGGCTGGAGCTAGACACGGCTGGAGCGAGGAGCGGGTGGGGCTAGGAGCGGCTAGAGCTAGGAGTGGCTGGAGTGAGACACGGCTGTAGCTATGGACGGCCAGAGCTAGGAGCGGCTGGAGTGGAAACGGCACCAGGGAGTGGACTCTAGGAATGGCCTTGTAGGAGCTAACACAAAACCCTAGAACCAGCCATATACAAAAGAGAGTGCGGCCTCCAGCCGCTGCGAGGAGTGTCACAACCGCAAGAAACGGTATGTGGTGGCACGCAGGCACTAGCGGGTAGGCAGGCAGGGTGCACTAGGGCTGTTAACGGTACTGGCAGTAGATGGCGCTGCTGGTGCTACTAGTGGCAGTGCTACTTGCGGCTGGCGGTTGGCGGTGCCACTGCATTGCTGGGGGCTGGTGGCTGGCACGGCCTGGTGGCTAAGTGATGCTGGCGGCTAGCTTGCGGTTGTAGCGGCTGTGGTGACAGCTGTAGTGGCGGCTAGCGGCTGGTCGCTAGGGCTGTGGGCGGCTAGGAGGGGTTGTGGGCGGCTAGGAGGGGCTGTGGGCGGCTACGGGCGGGCGGGTGTAATGCGCTGGTTGTAACCGTGCGCGGATGTTGAATAGAGTTGCTAGCGCTGCTGGCGCTAGTGCTACCCGCGGCGGTGGGGCGGACTGCAAGGCGCACTGTAGCAGCGACGGTGGGCGCTGTGGTGGCAGCATCGGGTGTGGGCTGTTGCAGCGGCGTAATGCGGTGTGTGCAGTCGATGCTGCGCGTGCGCGGCGCTGCGTGCGTGGCTGCTGCCGCGTATGAGCTGCTGCTGTAATATGCATGCGTCTGAGGCTGCCGCGTGCGTGGCTGCTGCTGTGCGTGCGCAGCTGCTGTCGCGTGCGCGGTTGGTCGCGACGTGTGCGGCTGCTGCGTGCGTAGCTGCAGCTGCTCGCGCGCTGCCTTTGCGTGCGTGAGTGGCTGCAGTCGCGTGCGCGGTTGGTCGCGGCGTGCGCGGCTGCTTCGTGCGTAGCTGCAGCTGCTCGCGCGCTGCATTTGCGTGCGTGAGTGGCTGCAGTCGCGTGCGCGCCTGCTGCTGAGTAATATGCGCGCGCTCGATCTAGTTGGCTGGCGCGCGCTCTGGCATAGTGTTGTATCCTATACTATGTATCTCATTATAGCCTAACAGATCAAACACAGATATAAATACAATTTGACAGGTGGTTTGTATGTTAATACAGCAAATGCAGGGATATGTTTTGCAACACAAGGATAAGATTTCCGAATAGAAGTGCTTTTATGACCTAGACAATTATGGACAATATATGGTTTACTGGATGTGTTTGGGAGGCTTTCACGGACTAGGCGAAGAAGTCTTCAAGCGTGTATAACGAGATTCAACGTGGCATGGGTATGCTTGCGATTACAGTACATACATTCGATCGAAAAACCCTGTCGTTTGTCACCATGTACGTACCACCCATGCTCAGTGCGTTCCTCTAAAATCAGCCGCCAGAGGCGCTTGTTCCTTCGATTTCCCCGCTCGTGGTCAGCCAGTTACAGTTCCCCAAGGGATTAGCAGCACCAGTGCAATGACTGGCCACGCGCCAGCTTCCAACAAAGGCAAAAGAGTCACTTCCCGAGCTGCGACGATTTTTATTTACGTCATTCGGAAGGACGAGAAAAGTGCGGCGCGGTACAAGGAAAGAGCCGATGTTCGTCCTGGCGGAGCATCGTAGGATTCAACGGCCACGATGACGTGTGGTTGGATGGTGGGAAGTGGGGGGAGGGGAGGGGAAGGGTGCGTGGAAACGGTGGATGGGGAAAAGGGGGTTGGGCAAGGGGGAAGGCTCGGAGGGAACACAGCGGCTTGCGGGCGGCGGCTTGTCGAACCCGCGGGTGCGTCTGTCTCGGCCGCTCTTCCGCCGGTCTTCCCCCTTTCCTGCATCCCGCTTCTACGATCGACGCGACGCGACAGGGCTGCTGTGACCGCATGATGGGGGTCGTGACGTGGCATGGTGAATGCCGAGACGACGAGCGTGGAGAGGGAAGCGGAGAGGAGAGGAGCGGAGAGAGAGAGAGAGCTGAGAGACCTATGGGATGATGGGGACGAACTCAATCAGCCCTTTTAGTTGGAGTCATGATGAGAAGGGAGTTGCATTGATTACGGCGATGATCCGCACTCGTGCTAGGCAAACACGAGACGAAGTAGTGGGAGAGTCACGAGCCCTAGTCGTCGTTAGGGACCACCGTCGCCACTCTCGTCGCCACTCTCGTCGCCACTCTCGTCGCGAGACTGGTTTCACCTCAACCGCCTTCTCTAGTAATTTCTCCACCGTGCCATCCCCGCATTCTCTCCCTTTCCTCGTGAACCGACATCGTCACACCATCACCCTCTCCCGTCGCCCTTGTTCCTCGCCACCGTCGCCACTGTCGCCATGGGGTCGCACACGCTCACGGCGCCCGTGCGCGTCTTCTCGTGGTGCGCGCGCGTGTTGGAGCTCGTCTTCCTGGCCCTCCTCATCACCTTCGTGGCGCACCTCTCCAAGGACAAGACCGCCCCCTCGCTCGCCGCGGCCGGGGGGCTGGCGGCGTGCTTCAGCTGTGACAACGGGTGGAACTGGCACGTGCTGCTCATGGGCATCGCTTTCGGGATCGCCATGACCGAATCTATTCTCGCCTTCTGCTCCTCCTCCCTCAGGTACGGTGGTAACCCGTTCCTTCTGTCTCCCCCCCCTCCGATCCGCCTCCGGAGGTTCGTGTGTGGCACATGCTGCGTGTGGGTGTTGCATTTGGCGTCACCATGACAGAGTCCAAACGCAACACCCATACGTGATACCTGTGCTTCATCCTCACCTTCTGCTCCACTTCCCTCAGGTAGGTTCATTCCCTCCTAAGTCTTTGCTTCACCTCCCTTTGGTACAACAACTAACTGGCCACCCATCAGGCCACCCATCAGGCCATTTATCAGGCCACTCTCTAGCATGTGCTGCTCCTGGGGTTCGCGTTCCGTGTCCCCATGACGCATCCCTTCTCCCGCTTTCTGCCGCAACTCGGTTGGTTGATTCTAGAAGCTTTAGATGCTGCTGCTTCCTGCTGTCCCTGCCTTGCTGCGCCGTTTAGTTTCCATCATGCGACGAATTTCCGTGTGCATCTGTGACTAAACCGCGCGTGATTGCAACCCGTGGGACTGTACCATTTCTTTCACCGTCACTGCAGGGCGTCCGGGTACGCCAAGTGGGTGCACCTTGCGTGGAAAGCGATCGTGCTGGTTCTGAGGACTTCTGGTTCGTCCGAAAACCCGTGTGACTGACACTATTGTTTTTGTCGCTGTCGTCACTGCAGGGCAACCGGGTATGCCAAGTGGGTGCACCTGGCGTGGCAGGCGATCGCACTCATCCAGACAGCAGTGGCGATGGCGGCTATTATTGCCTCGAAAGGGACGAAGCACAAGCACATGTACTCCGTGCACTCCTACTGCGGTGTGCTCACTCTCGCACTCTTTGCCGTCCAGGTGAGTGGGCTTGCATCAAGGAGCAGATTCGATCTGCTGTGTTCTGGTCTGATCTGCTTCTATCTTTTCATATCATTGCGAGAGTTTCGAGCAATGATCATTCGGTAAAGAGTCGTCCTCATGGAGTCCGTTATGCCATGCTGCGCACCATTCTATTTGCCGTGCTGCCCCTCTCCCTGCACTGCACTTCGTGTGGGGGCTGTGTGTGTTCGTGCTGTTCAAAAGCCGCCTGTCAGAAGCTTCGAGACTTGTCAAAATTGTGTGCCGTGCTGCCCCTCTCCCTGCTCTGCAGTTCGTGTGGGGCCTGTGTGCGTTCGTGCTGTTCAAGAGCCGCCTGTCAGAAGCCACGCGGTACCAGATGGGAACGTACCACATCCTGCTCGGCAAGTTCACCTACTATGCTGGCATCGGCACGTGTGTGGTGAGTGTGACAACCGGCCACTGATACCATGCTGCTGCTGCACTTTACGCATGCTGAAGCCACGTGGTACCAGATGGGTACGTGCCATCAGCAAGTTCACCTACTACGCGGGCATCGGCATGTGTGTGGTGAGTGTTGCAACGGTACCCTTAGTTACAATGCTTGCTGCTGCTGTGCTGGGAACGCTGAACCCGCCCCTGGCTTCCTCTCCCTGTTCTGTAGCAGGTGTGGTGGGGTTGCTGAGAGGGAGGAGGAGCGGGAGGGTTGGATGGGCGGAGTGATAGGACTGCAGCTCTGGATGAATGGTATCTGCTTCTCGCTTAGGGCCGGAAATCTCAAGTCATTCTCTGCCTTGTTGCCACTGCTCTTGGTGTGCAGAACGGGTTTGCGGTCATGCAGGTGATGATGGTGCAAGTGGGACAGCCGCACTACGGCAGCGCGAGCATGGCTCAGAGCTGGGCATCGCTTTTCCTCTGGTTCACCTCGGCGGCAGTGTTTGGCGCCATGACAACTTCCAGGACCGCCGAGCTCGTTACCGACTCTGATGAGAAGGACGAGGCAAAAAGAGTTGCGGTGTAGGTTGGGTTTGTCAAATATATATAATATCTGGTATAGGCTGTAGTGAGGTGCCTTCTAGGGGGTACAACTTTTACTAGGTTTGCATATTTGTACCCCATCCTGTTTCTAGTTCAGATATTCCGTTGTGCACGTTTCTTGAGATGGTATCAGTTAGGTTCGTTTCCTAGCCTAGTCTAGCCCGTGTTCGCGCCCTCCGCGCCCTAACGCCCTCCGCGCCCTCCGCGCCCTAGATCCCTCCGCGCCCTCCGCGCTCTCGCGCCCTCCGCGCCCTCAGCGCCCTAGCGCCCTCCGCGCCCTCCGCGCCTAGCCTGCGGATTCGCCAGCGCCCGAGCCCTAGCCCGTCGCCCTACGCCCGCGCCCTAGCCCATCGCCCCAGCCCGCACCCTAGCCCATCGCCCCAGCCCGCGCCCTAGCCCATCGCCCCAGCCCGCGCCCTAGCCCGTCGCCCCAGCCCGCGCCCTAGCCCGTCGCCCCAGCCCGCGCCCCAGCCCGTCACCCCAGCCCGCGCCCCAGCCCGTCGCCCCAGCCCGCGACCTAAACCGTCGCCCTCGCCCACGACCTAACCCGCGCCCTCGCCCTAGCGACAGCCCGTGCCCTAGGCCGCGCCCTGCCCTAAGCCGCGCCCTCGCCCTAGGCCGCGCCCTCGCCCTCAGCAGCGCCCTAGCCCTAGGCCGCGCCCTGCCCTGAGCCGCGCTCTGCCCTAGGCCGCGCCCTAGCCCTAGGCCGCGCCCTGCCCTAGCTCGCACCGTCCGCGCCTAGCCCGCACACGCGCCCTACCCGCGCCCTCTCCCTTAGCCCGCACCCCTGCTCTAACCCTAACCCTAGCCCGAGTTGATCGCGTGCCCTCACCCTCGCTACCCGAGTGCGCCCCCACTCTGCCCAGCCGTTGGCCCCTCCTCTTAACCTGTTCCCCGGCCCCACGCCATTCCTACTGCGGTTGGCTTCCGTTTCAGCGGCTGGCAGCCGCTCTTCCCACTGGTAGCGCGACCTAGGACCGGTTAGATCCCCACTCCTAGACTAGTTTCCTCCGACTGTCTCTAGTCTATGTCCAGCTGGCGTCTCTAGCTGTCTCTAATCTCCCTTCTCGCTTCTAGCTCCGCCTGCTCCGTGCTCCAGCCGCCTCTAGCATAGCCTCCAGTATGGACTCCCGCCGCCTTCGTTTCGATGCGGAGGGACGCCCGATAGAGTTCGGCACCTGGCTCCGCCAGACTCAGCGCTACCTCACCAGTTAGCGCCTGGACGGCGCCACCCTGTACGCCCACGCGCCCGGCGCCTTCCAGGCACCCCAGCGTCCCGAGCCCCTCCCTGCCGTGCCCCCCCCCGACTCCGGAGGCGCAGGCGGACTACGCTCGTCTTGTCTTGGCGCGAGACGTTTGGGACTCCCGTGACGCTGCGGCTGCACTCGCGCTGACCGAGCTCCTTCCACCGACTGAGGCCGCTCAATTCGACCTGGTAGAGACTGCGAAGGAGGTGTATGATGCTATTTCTGCACGCTATTCCACCCCTTCCTCTGCCTCCCTCAGCCGCATCCTCATGCCGTTCGTGTTTCCCAACCTCGGCTCGTTTGCGACTGTCTCTGACCTAGCCACACACTTGCGCTCCCTTGTCGCTAGCTACCGAGCAGCTTGCACTGAGGCTCAGCTTCTTCTTGCTCCCCCCCCTGTCTGGCTCACCGTCCACTGGGTAGTCACTCGTCTCCCTGACCGCCTCTCCTCTGCCCGTGATGCACTTCTCCAGAAGCACCCCAGTGAGCTTACGATTGATCTTCTCGAGACCACTCTCGGGAAGATCGAGAGTAACCTCCTATCTGTTGCCTCAGCCACTGACGCAGTTGCCCCTCGTCTGTTTGAGGGTTGTGCTGTCCCCCAACTTCCTACCTTCACTGCTACTCGTGCCTCTGCTGCTGTGTCGGTCTCTGAGGACACTGCAGCTGTTTCTGCCGCTGACAGGCAGAAACGGGGCAAGGGAGGCAAGAAAGGGGGGAAGGGGGGTGGCGGCGATGGAGGAGGTGGCGGTGGTGGAGGCGGCCCTGGGGGCGGCAGTGGTGGCGGTGGCGGTGGTGCCTCAGGCGGAGGGAGCTCTAGAGGAGGTCTGACCCGCCTGCTGGAGGAGGTTCGATCAGCGGCGGTGCGGGGACCCAGCAGCAGCAGCCACAGCAGCAGCAGCCACAGCAGAGACAGCAGCAGTAGCAGGGACAGCAGCAGTGGCAGGCACCACAGCAGTTTCAGTCGTGGGGACCACCACTGCAGTGGGGTCCGTAGCAGCACTGGGGCCCTCCGCCACAGTGGGAACCTGGAGGACCCGGGAGCACTGGCCGCAGCAGCAGCACAACCAGCTGGGCCCCTCGCCCCCCGTGGCGCGACACCGGCCCCTACGACCACTGGTGCGTCACCGGACCGGGCAGTCCCTGTGTCTGCGGCCGCGACGACCACTCTGCGGCGCGGTGCTTCCGCCGCCTCGACGACCTCTACCGTGCGCGCTGGGGTCCTGAGGCGACCACCCCGCGCTGGGCTCGTCTGCTAGCCCGTAAGATTCCTGTATTTGAACTGTCTATGGACGATGCTCGTCAGTATGTTGACTATAGTGCTGATGGATCTGTGTGCTCGCGTGTTCGTAGCCTAGGATGCTTGCCTCCTGTTAGTGTAGACCTGTGCCTCTCTAGTCTAGGTGCTTGTGTTTCTGCTCTAGGTGCTTGTGTAGCCTCCGGACCTGACACGCCTCCGGCTGAGGCGTCTCTGTCGTTCACGCTGGACTCTGGTGCGTCGCAGTGTTTCTTCCGCGACCACACGACCCTCACACCACTCCTTGCTCCGTTTCCGGTAGCTCTGGCTGATCCTTCATCAGGACCAGCCGTTGCGCGCAGCTCCACCACCCTCCCGTGCCCTGTGGTCCCCTCTGGTGTCCTGCGCGGCCTCCACATCCCCTCGTTCACTCGGAACTTGGTGGGTGTTGGATACCTCCAGGACAGGGGGATCACCGTTACCTTTGTGGGGGGTGGGAGGACTGCGGCCTGTACAGACGCCGCTACAGGTCCTGTTCTGGCCACGTTCACCAGGGAGTCCCGCTCTGGTCTCTACGTTCTCCACACCGAGCGCTCCCCGGTTGATTCCTCCGTTCAGGTCGCTGCGTCCCCTCAGGTCCTAGTGTCTAGTCCGGTTGCTGTGTCTGGTCAGGTACATGTGTCTGGTCAGGTTGCTGCATCTTGCTCCTGTCGGTCCCTAGCCCACCCGACCGTCTTGTGGCACCACCGCCTTGGCCACCTGTCGCTCCCCCGCCTCCGCAGCATGGCCATGCACAGTCTTGTCTCAGGTCTCCCGTGCGTCTTTCCGTCGCTCGCTCCCTCGCTTGCCCCACCCTGCACTCCTTGCGTCGCCGGCCGCCTGCGCGCCACTCCGCACTCCTCCTCCCTTCGTCCGGCCACTGCTCCCTTCCAGACTCTCCACCTGGACGTCTGGGGCCCTGCCCCTACGCTGGGACCTGAGAGGGAGCGCTACTTTCTAGTGGTCGTTGACGACTACTCCAGGTACACCACGGTGTTTCCTCTCGCGAACAAGTCCGAGGTGACTTCTACGCTGATCCGGAGGCTTCTGGCCACTGAGGGCACTCATGGTAGTCGTGTCCGTTGTCTCCACTCCGACCGTGGGGGTGAGTTTCGCTCCAGCGTCCTTGCCGGGTTCTGCGGCGAGCGACGAGCAGGGCATCAGACAGTCCTGGACGCTGCCGGAGTCCCCACAGCAGAATGGGGTTGCTGAGCGCCGCATTGGCTTGGTCATGGACATCGCCCGCACGTCCATGATCCAAGCCCATGCCCCCCATTTTCTGTGGCCCTACGCGCTGCGCTACGCCGCGCACCAGCTGAACCTCCAGCCGCGTGTCTCGCGGCCAGAGGGTTCACCGACCAGTCTTTGGACTGGGTCCCTTGGTGTTGGGTCGGCCTTTCACGTCTGGGGCTGCCTTGCGCTTGTCCGCGACACCTCTGCGGACAAGCTCTCGGCTCGCGCCATCCCCTGTGTCTTCCTTGGTTTCCCGGTGGGCTCTCCCGACTACTCCTTTTACCACCCGCCCCTCCACCAGTTTCTAGACTCTCGTGACGTCCGGTTTGACGAGTCAGTGTCCTACTACACTCGGTACCCCTGTCGAGATCTCCCGGTTTCCCCTCCTTCCCTCTTCCTCGCACCCTCTCTTCCCCCTGCTCCTGCTCCTCCGGTACCCCCACCCCCCCCTGGTCCTGCCCCGTCAGGTGTGTCTCACGCTACCCCTCTACCCTCGGTCGCGCGTCAGGTAGCGTCTCCCTCCCCGCAGTCCTCCTCACAGTCCCCTCAGCAGCCTTCGGCACTTCCGCGACAGGTTACTGTGGACTCGGTTGGTGTTGGAGCTGGAGGTGCAGCCGCTGGCGGTACTCGGTCTGGGGGTGCTCGTTCGAGGGGTGCTGGAGCTGGAGGTGC